ATCTTTGTTCTATTTTCTCCAAAATGTTATCAAAAGTTTTAATATTCATTAAAAGATAAGATTGAAATTTTTCTGGTTGCTGCCGTAATTCCTCATATAAATGGTGATATTCGCCTAATCGAAGTTTGCTTCTGTTTATATGGTGTGCACTTCACCTTCTTTTTTTCTTTCCGTCTTCTCATTAAATACCAACATTTTTAAAGACGACGTTTCGGTTAAAACCAAATTATTCATTTTTATCTTTTTCACTCGAGTATTAACTCGCCACTATGTGCATACAATTCTTTCATCCACTCTCTGCTCAATTGACGCTCTGCTCTCCGCGCTGCCCGCTGCTCTGCTCGTCGCTCCACTATGTGCTTAGCCTTAGAGAGAGATGTCTAAAGATCCAAAATGTAAACGGATTTTTGGAAATCGTACTATAGAAAACCAGCGTAAACAAAGTAAGAGAGACAAAATCAAAATATTTGGAGAGAGATCTTTGTACCATATTTGGAAGTTGATTACTCATCTTTTAGTGTTAACTATATATAATCTAAGATCTAACCCCACTTTTTTTGCTTGTTTTCTAACTTTTGTTTATTCTGATGATTCCTGGAGCTTGATTAATTTTCCCTTGGTGTTTTTTATGGAGGAACAACTAGAAGTCGCTGTTTTTGCAGACATAAATGGAGCGTAAACTAGTTTTGACATAACATAGCGTAACCGTAAGGCATCCGGTAAGTTCCGTTAGATAGCGGGCTCCGCTAACGTTAATACCGTAAGAACTGTCATACTTGTCAGATAGCGTTACGGTATTTGAAATTTGGACGACACGAGAACTCTCTATTATGGCCCTTAGAGTCCTTTTCACATGGCTCCGGTTCAAACTAACCGGGTTACAAAGCGGTTAGTAGCAGTATGTCAAATGATGACATCATTGAAATTGCCATTTGAAAAACGAACGGTTAGAAAAATATTATCTTAAATAGGGCATTCCAATAAAAAAAAATCAGTCAGGGCACACAATTCAATTGTGTCATACAAGTGAACATAATCGAACATGCGTCATTTCCATACACATTTTTCAATAATAATAGTTGCTCAGTTGCTCTAAAGTATTCATACTTGATAATAAGTACTAATATACATATATCTCGAACAAACTACAGCATACCTATTTTAACTCACTGCCAGTTAAATCTCTAATTTGTTTGTTTAACTTTAGGTCTGTTTCTGCGGAAATCACAAACCAGTCAGAGTGAATTTCATTGGTCAGAAACAGTCAGAAAACTAGTTTCAACCAATGAAATTCGCCCCGACTGGTTTGTGATTTCTGCAGAAACAGACCTTTTATCAGGATGCTTTCGATTCAGTTCCAATGGTATTTTGTAAAATTTAACGTTGTCGCGTTATCCCCTACTAGAGTAAAAATCAAACGAGAAGAAGCCATTGACGTCATCGCTGACGAAGAAGGCAGATTTCCTTTTCTCTGGGTCCCTCCTATTTAAAGTGAGACAAACGACGCCTGCCCTGGCTAACTTTCGACAGTCGCCATTTTTGTCAGTTCGTTGGAATGCCCTATTGGGAAATCCAACGACCTTCGGTATTTTTAATGGGTTGATGTACCTTCTAGTAACTGCACCAAAATTCCACGTGTCTTGAAAAAAATGCTTTCTAACCGTTAAACGTAACCATATCGCCGAGCTGGATAGAGAAATGACATCATACCGTTTCCTAACCCGGTTACAACGTGACGTTATCGATACCACTCGAATTTGAGATTTGTGCGGTATGTTGCGGTTTGTTAAACCGGAGCCACGTGAAAAGGGCTTAGGCGTATTTTCTTGGGCTATTCGCACTTCGCAGATTATTCGCTTAAAATTGGCTAGATTCCAGCGCAGTGCGAGAAGGATAAAGCTAACTAGGGCACCCTCAACGGAATTTGACGTGCTTCGTGCTTGTTACAGTTGTGCGTTGCTTGTGTCAAGAAGAAGGCAAGTTGGCGTCAAATATTTATATTCTGATTTCAAGCTTAAAATTTGTTTATTTTTAATTTTTTTCTCGGACCCCGTTCTGGCCTGAATTCCTGACTATTTACATAGTTATATTTATATTTGACGAGACTTGAGAAAATAAAAATTAAATTTTAAGATGGTTCACTCCTGTGCTGCATTTAAGTGCAAAACGAGATGGCAGAAGGATGTTAAATTGAAATTTCACAGGTATAGGTGTAGTTGTTAGCTATTAATAGGCGGTTACACACGGACGTGGATGTTTGAAAACATGTACGTACATACATGAACGCGCAAACAAAAACATCAATGTGTATGCAAAATATCGTCGCGTTTTTGAATGTGGAATCGCTAGAAATTTTGTATGCACACTCGGATTACTGTAGCAAGTAGCAAGAATAGCAAGATTGCAGTTTTGTGCGAGCGTCTGTACAAACGCGACATGCACGCACTGATCTCAAAAATAAATGGATAAACAAAGAACGCTTCTAATGCTGCTAATTTACGAGGTCATAATCTAAACAAAAACAACTGACTGGGACAGCTGTGAGCGTGCGCAGTAGATATAGTCATATTCACGATAGAGTTTGAATTTTGGCCGTTATTTTCACCAGTTGAAAATAAATAAAATCCCCAGATCTGTCCCTTTTTCTGACAACTATCAAATAATGATACATGACATTTTGATTTGACACATAAAAATATCAGATTCGGGTCTTTGAATTTTGAATTTCGAATTTTTGTGTGAAATCGTTCAGTTTTTTTGCCGTTTTCTGCATTATTCTTTTATTTGTTATTATCGCCATCGGTGTTTTGTTTTTTTTATGTAGTGTTCTGTGCCTTTGTTTTTCGGTGTTGAGTTTAAAACCTGGTTTTAGTTTGGATTTAAGTGTACTCTTTTTATAAGTGTTTACTTTGGATTCTTATTTTAGGATTTTTGGATTTTAATAACTTAACTTCCTTTAAAGAAATTGAAAATAAATTTTATTCATTCTGAAATGTACATCACTTTTCTAAATACGACCCTGTCGTTTATCCCAGCTGACGGAATCGAAGCGCAAACGCATCATGCTGACAACCTAAAGAAAAAGTTTACTAAAAATGTCAACGCGAACTGTCAACTTCACTTTCTATCGTGATTTAGTCTATACATGTACTGTGCGTGCACAAAATCTGACCAATGAAAATGAAGAAATTTCAAAACTTAGAACAGTTGTTCCAAAGATAAGACACTGCGCAGGCGTTACGCTGATGTTCCGTTGCACACCTGTTCGTAGAATATTGACCCCAAATTTTCGCACAAATTTTGCTAATCAAGCCGTATGATTGTTTATCCATTTATTTTTTAGATCAGTGCATGCACGTTGTTGTTTGCATCCTTCCTGCGTACCTCTTTTTGGTTTTGTGTCTGTGTCGCTGTTCTTCAAAAGCTTATGCTTCATCGTAGACTACTCAACGC